GTGTTTTGGTGAAATGGGGATTATCTTTAAATGAGAAACAAAACAATCATTTAAGCACTTTCCTTTTCATTTAAGAAAATCTTACCTGTAAAATGTAGGAAGAGAATGGCTGTCTGCAATCACTGCACATCACTGGCAACACTGGCCTGGAACATGTGCTGAGAACCCTTCTGCTTTCCAGAAAGGAAATACTGGTTGGCTTAGGAAAGTGGGTATCAGTATTTGTTGAAGGGGAGTAATATATTTTGATCTCTGTCAAAGTAATCTAACATTCATGTCTGCTTCCATGTGAGTGTTTTCTTTAGAAACCATCACTGAATCAGCATGAGAGAGCCTGATGATGTCAAATTGAGACTACAGTGCTTAAAAGGACAGCTTGAAAAGAAGATTAACAGTCTCCTGCAGGCTTTCAGAGTGCCACAGTCTGGTGGGTTAGCACATAAATGCCTCAATTAATCATCCTTACTGACATCTCTTTGCTGTCTGCTGCCCACAGCTCACTCACTGACTTGGTGTCAAGTGCACCAGGCACAGTGCCCATCTCAAGCACCTGAGGATCTTTTATATTCATTCAACCAACCAATATTTAATGTTCTGGGCTTTGTGTCAGAATTTGGAGATACAAAAATAAAAAAACTTCTCCCATGCTTAGAACACATCCATTGATAAGTCTACTAGAAAGAAGGATATGTACATAATTAATTTTTATATAGTCTGATGTATCTTGAGTTGGCCAAGCTTCAAAGCTCTCTCCATGGCCCTGATTTTTTTCTGTGTAGGAAATTTTCAAACATACACTCCCATATGTGTTTCAAGTTCAACAGCTTTGGTGACTTAAGGTCAGAAATATAAGACTGACACATCCTCATGTTGTGTTCTGGAGATCTTAGTCCATAAATGATCTTTTCCAAAGGGGACTATAATGAAGGGAGTGAGGCAGGTGTCTTATGCCCAGAAGAATAAGGGCTGTATAGAACGTGCTCTTGCTTTTCTTTTTTTTGCGGGGGTGGGGGGATGGGGGAGTGGGGGGTGCGGGGGTAGGGGGTGGGGGTTGGGGAGGTTGTGGGTCCCCATCCTCATCCATTTGCCTTTCCATTCATAGGATTCTCAGAGGTACATCTCTAAGAAAAACCTTTGGACTTCAGAGAGGTCACAATTTTAGACAGTAAAAACAGTTTATTATGCAGGTGCAAGTTGGTAGTGCTCAGCCTTTTAAAGAGAAACCTTAAAAAAAATAAAAAATAAAAATAAATAAATAAAATAAAGAGAAACCTTTTATCCTACATTTATGGAGGAAAACCCAGCTTTATGATCTGATTAGGAATAATCATGTAAATCACCAAATCTGCCTTTGCAGACATTAACAGAAATCAAATTGTAGAACTAGAAGGCCTCTACAGATCATCACAGTCTAGTCTAAACCAGCTGGCTGTTGAAGTATGAAGTAACTTTTTTCAGACCACACAAAGTAAGGAGAAGTGACTTTTTTCAGGCCACACAAAGTAAGGAATAGAATGTTTGCTGTGCCAGGGACTCACTCCATCACCGGCCCCTCCTCAGAAATTCTCCCACTTCTGGTTTTATAGCAACCAAAGGGTCAATGTCTGACACACTGGAGAGTCTTCAGACTCCACACTCAGCTTCTGTACTTTTGTCAGTGAGAAGGAGAGTGCCAGGCTAGTATGAAGAGGTGTGCCTTAATCAGTGAGGAAATCGTTCCACAAATATTGATTATCTACATACAGCAGATATAGCTTGACCTAAAGATACAAAGGTAAACATCACAGTTTTAACTTCTAAAGAACTTTTCACCCCACAAAGAACATAGAGAAGTCAGTTGTATCATGAAGTGTTGGAGTAGAGTGGGAAAGGCATGCTCCAGCATCCAGGCAAGAAAGTGAACTCACCCAGAGAGGCTGGGAAACTTTAGAGAGGATTTACCTAATGACTGGTGGGTCAGGCTTGATGGAACCTAAGCAGACAAAGGACAAACCAGCAGTGGTTGCTGATTGTCTAAGTCCATGGGGAGAAGAGAAAGAATAGATGGGTTAGAATGGATGGGTTGGCACCCAGTAGAAGCTGGAGTTGAGTGTTACGTTAAGCTGATGTGTGCCTTTGAATTCACGTGTTGAAATTCTAAACTAGGACCTAAGAATTTGCTCATATTTGAGATTGAATTCAGAGTCAAAGCTTTTATCTAGGTAATTAAGGTAAAACAAGGTCATTGGGGTAGGACTTGATACCACCTGGCATTTTCCTCTCTGTATCTTCAAGTCTCATAGTGTTGTACTTTAAACCACCAGGTCCT